GAACCAGATTGAGTGTAGGTGAATCGATGATAGCTTTTAAAGCTCAATCAAACAATACAATCACTGAAATCCATCAAACATAAAAGCAGATCAAAGGAATATATTACACGTTTTGACGTTTACCCAGGGCATGATGCTGAAATGCCTGAGTACCATAAGCAGAGAGAAGTGAAATTAACAGAAAAGGAATAGTGTAAAGAAAAAATGATTTATTTTAATATTTTTTACATCTTTATTATCTTTATGGTAATCAAACGACATTTGCCAATAAATGGTAGAAATACGGAATATAAATTGCTATTCCCTGCCTATATTTTGCCAACACTTTGACTATAACAACAAAATGGGCAGAGGAGATCATCCAGACCAGTCACGGTCTACTTATAGACCAAATCGCAGATCTAAAAAGTGGTGACATAGTGTTTTCTTTATATTAGTTTTGCAAATACTTACAATTTATGGTCAATTGTTTGAAAAGGTGACGATGTTAGATTTTCGAAGGTCCCGAAACAATCATTTTGTAAAGTTTGTAGAAAGAACGAGGTGCAGCTTGCAGTAGGAAAAAATTGCAGTCACGACCAAATTCATGTTCTATGTAAAGTATTTTTATGTTACAATGAAAATAAAAATTGTTTTGCAGATTATCACGTATGATGGTACTAAAAAGTACTGTATACAAAATATTTTGAATTTTACAAAAATCGGTACAATAATTAATTTTAGTTTAAACAAAGTTCAAGAAGAAGAACCGAGTGATGACAACAACATTAGTGTCAATAGGAACTTTCCATCAGTAACTTTATAGAAAACTGTGACGTGCTTTCCATTTTATAAAAGTTTTTGCTGATACAATGATACAAAGTTATTTTAAAATTATCTAATTATATTAACGACTTAATTAATGTAAAAGCCTCACAAAATTCTGTCTGGCCGGACATGTTTATTTTTAGCCGAACGCAATCCTAAAAATTCAGACATCTGGCAACTCTACCCATACAACCTTGCTAAATGCTAAATTGGAATCTTCATTTTGCATAGTTCATCACGGCTATATTTAATATTTATCCCTATATAATTAAACAAGTTAAATTTTCTATATTATTGGTATTCGAATTACTGAAACATCAAAATTCCTTAACATTAATTATCTAGTACATACCAAGCAACATCATATTAGAATTCCGATCCCCAATCCGCTTATAACATTGTAATTATATTCATTGCGAATCAATTCAGTTAAGGGATGTGGGTATCGATTCAATATACCCCCTTCAAATCTATTTGCATTCAACCGTAAACGTACGTGTATGACCATCATCAATCGACGAGAGAATTTGTGGATATCAGAAAGCCGGAGTACGCATCATGTATTCGACGGTCTCGTCTATTTTACGGTAATAAATGCCCCAGGTTTAATAGGAAATAGTGAGGGCCAATTAAATCCGTTTCCACAACACTGAGACGATTCAATAGAGTTTGGAGGTTTCGCGCGCGTGCATCCGGGTCAGATGGTTAATGGTGGGGCAAACAGCAACTATCCTCCACGTCGACCGGGCGAGAACCGAGAGTCCTACGGGCGAACGCAGCAAAGCCTAAACAAACACGGTTAATTAAATTCAACTCTAATCTCGCGTTTGCCCGCGGCTGCGTTCCCTCAACTACTTTTTTTTTCGTCCAACGAAAACGGCTCTGGGAGTCTATTTGAAGTAGACCTGGAGAAGTGGAACTTACACTAATATCGCCTCAGGGATGTGGAATTTTAGTTTGTTTTATATTTTTAGTTTCTACTTTTTTAAATGGTTTCAATTAAATTCAGATCATGTAGCGCAAATATAAATTTGATTCATGTAATATTATACATGTTTTTTTTTGTTAACAGCGTCAACCAGTTCAATAATAAATGACATTTCATGGTTTTTTTAACATATTGAAATTAATTACACAATAATAACGCGAGAATTAACAAAGTCATCCTGAATCTAATCACTATCTACAGCGTGTTAATTAATTATCGTACCCGACCGTCATCATTACAAGTATGCAACCAATATCGCAAATCGTGTATTGAAATACCAATACTGTGATATTGGTTGCATACTTGCAATGATGACGTCGGGTACGATAATTAATTAATACAGTGTACTATGGAAGTCTTCGTTTTAGGCGGGTATGAATTATAAGATCTCCTAGTTGATGTACTTGAGCACTTGGATACTTTTGGAGGTAATTTAAGTATTTTCTGGTTGTTTTACTAATGTAGTCGATGATTGTTTCAACTCCTAGTTTTTCATGTATCTGCGAATTCCTCACAAATCACCTCTACGGGTGTTCCTTATATTTTATTTTGTAGTTTTTGTATTTATTTATATTAATTTTAGCTGTTGAGCTCCAAACTAGGCATGCATATGTTATTACAGGTCTTATTAACGATTTATAAATTAACATTGCACATTCGATCTTCAGTTTCGATTTTCAGTTGATGATAAAGGTCTTTCAGCCTTGCATATACCTCGTTTAATATTTTATTAATATGATACTTCCACAAGTTTTTGGTCCAATACACACCCAGACATTTGACTGTGGTATCTTTTGAATTTCAGTTCAAAGAATGATCTCTGATTGATGTTATTGTAGGAAACTGTTAACTCGCCTAACAGTAAATATTTTGAACTCACATTTACTTCGATTTAAGTCAAAGCAACAAGTGCATAACCGTTTATGACATAGTAACGGTGAAAGAATACTGGCATTTATAGGCATTAATTCTAACGTAAAATTTTCTGTTTTCTGAATTCCGGTATATTAGTTTTAAGGATTTTATATTTCAAACCATATAGCCATACTGAATCAAAGGCCTTTGTTATGTCTAGAAAGGCAACTGTTATGTACTGTATACATTCATATTCTCGCTTTATTACATCTATCACTCTTATGAGTTTATGTACTATTGAATGACCAATTTTATAAATCCATATTGAATGCTAGGTATGGCTGTGATTTTGGATCATAATTGTTCAAAAATCAGTTTCTCAAAAAGTTTACCCATGGTAGAAAACAGACTAATCGGTCTGTAGTTTTCAATTTCTTGTTTATTTTTGTCAGGTTTCCTGAACATTAATATTTCAGCTTCCCTCCAGGTATTAAGAAAGTATGCCAGATTCATGCAGATGTTAAAAATGGGTTTTAATATTTATTCTTATATCTATTCTTATTCTGTGATCTACCCAATCAGACCTATTGGGTAGATGACAGAATTCAGAATAATGCCGTGACCAGGAGCTTAGTAGGAGGTAGTGTATTAGTAAGCATTCCAAGTTCTTCAGGGTTGGTAAGATTAATAGTGGCTTTATTAACAGGAAGATTAGCTTCTAGATACTGTTGAATTTTATTTGTGGACGTGCAAATCACTTTTGAAAATTGGAAATGAAAAGTGGAGTGAATTGGAAGTGGAAGAAAAGTGGCCTTATCAGCATCTATGCTAAAAGTATTCCCTTGATGGAATGTTGGAATTGGTTCGCTTTGAGTTGTTTTCCACATTCGTCGTTACATTTTTGATTAAATTATTGTTATCTAAGTATGTTAACCACAACCCCTATGAAGTCCCAAGAAGGGAAGAGTTATTAGAAATACAAAATGTCAGAATTTGTAACCAGCTCGTTCCATGACAAAAAATACTTCTATTGAAAACAATTATGTAGAAAAATCGAGCAAACGGCGCCAAATTTTTCACAACTCCTAAAAATTTGTTTTGACAAGTGACTTTAGGTCCACGGCGTATTTAAACATAAATTTTAATTATTAAAGTATTTTTTTCTATGCAAATAATAATAATAATAATAATGACTTTATTGTCATTATAAACAAATAGAAACTAACTATAATAGAAAAAAAAAAAATGGGCAAAAGGCGAAGTTCAGGTCATCCATCCTGAGATGGATGATCTGTTCTTCCACTTGAATATGCAAATGTTCTTGCATATTGCGCAATTGTAATAAAATATCAAAAGTTACTAATTTACTTTTCAGTCCAATAACTTTTACAATTATAAAGGTGATTTCTTTAATTTTCTTCTTTCCTTCTCTTACTTCTTACACATCACCTTATATTGTTAATTTGAAAGGATTTAACGATAAATTATTCGTGTAACCACGTATTTTGAACATGAAACAAAAAAATTGTTATGTTAATTACAAAAAAGGTAAAAATGCAAGAAATTTGTACACTAATTGCTGTTTGATAAGGCCGTATTTATATTATGGATTGTATTTAGGGATATAAATGTATTATAAACACGTTTCGAAACATATATGAAGATTTTCGGCTCGTTTGCATGTTTTTGATAAAAACAGGTCCGTAATGACAATTTCGTCAGAATCGCAATTTCTTTCCTTCATCTTTTCAATATTTCAATCTTTTCGGTTTTTTAGTGAGTTTGTAGAATAAACAAATTCAATACTTTTCGAGAAGACGCGTTTTCAATTTCACGATCCTTTTATTCCTGTAAATAAGTAGTATGTTGGGAACAGACCCGGAAAGAAACAGAAACGCGACAACTCGAAAGTTAAAAAAGGTTAATACGGACCTGTTATTATAAAACTTATGACACGCGCCCGCTTATGTTGAAAAATAAAAATGTTACAAAATTGTTTTATTCCTGTAATGTTATAATTTTGTGCAATGCGATACGGTTCTCCGATATAATATCAAAAAGAATAAATTCCTCTGTAAAAATAACTTGTTATAATCCAACTTAATTAAAACCAATATTTAATTGCTTATTTAATATTTCATGTTTAATAGAATATAAGTACATTAAGAAATGTAACTACTTACGTACAATCCTGTCTTATCAATAGTTTCAAATTTACATGTATACCTGAATTGTTTTTCATGTATTTCTTCAATATAAAAACACGATCGTTTTAAATTGTTATCATTTAAAAATATTTTTATCTTTACAACGCAATTATTATAATTAGAACAAGTATTTAAACAAAGTTGCCCAAACATAACTTTACATAATTAGTTCGTTTGACGCCGCTACGAGTAATTATAAAATGAGTAAATATTTTCTGTTATTATTGTTAACGATTGTCGCATATTCTTATGCTGACATTCCGAAATGTAATCGTCAAATAGCACCTATAACCGGTTATGATAGATCTAAGGTTAGTATTTCCTCAATAAAATTTGGTTAATCTAAAAATCGAATAATTTGAAAATAAATTATTTTATATAAAAATCCTTTTTGAAGATACGAGGAACATGGTATGTCATAGAAGTAGGAAATGAACTTAAAAGCAAAAAGAGATGCTTAAATGCTAATGTCACGTTTGAAAAAATATTTGAAAGTGGTTTTGTAAATGGGTAAGTATAAGTAAATTACAATGTGTTATACTTAATGCTCAATGACGACAATAGCGGCACAACTCAAGATTAGTGATATAACAGAATTCAATGATCGTAATAAATCTCAATCTAAATTCACTCATACTTTTTTAATTTTTAGATATTTTAAATAAATTGAAAGTATGCAAACTTTTACACGCACTTGTGGCACTTTGTTCTAACAAATTTACAAACTCAACGTAACTTGATTTCATCTCCACCCGTCACCATCCGTCGTAGTATACTATATATATAGGCCAGGCAGTTGTCCTGCTGGAACCGAATATTTTGCATGGATTCAGGGTTAAAAATTTGGCTCATGGGAGGAATTATCTCGTTTGTTAGTAGCTTGAAATATCTATTACCAGTGCTTTACCAGAAATAATGATATGATTTTGTCTTTATCTCTTGTTTTTGTACTACCTCTTAATACAGACAAAGGAATATTTATAGATCATTGTTTTTTCCTTATATATAAACTTTTATAATGTGATCAGGGGCTATGACGAATTTTGCCTTCTTTGAAATAAAAATAATTTCAAGCAAGCCAAAGTTGTATCAACAGTCTAAAGGTACTGTAAAGGTGAAAACCAAAGTATATGAAATTATTGTCTTCACAGTTTATTGTTCTCCTAGACAAAAAATTTCTAGCCTAATCTTCCTTGCTTTGTGCTTGAGGTCTGTGTACACTTTCTTGGCTGTCAGAATGTTTATGTCGTCCGTGTATGCTGTTATCTGGGACGATTGTTGATTAATGAGTCCCTGGGGTTGACTGTTATTAGTTTTCGTATAACACATTTCAGGCATATTGCGGTCTATATTCACTAGATACCACTAGTAACTTTTAACGAATTTTACCTTAACTAACTTTGTATCATATATACAAAAACTATTAGTGGTAACATTTGATAATATTGTTAGCTTAATATTTACTATTTTTGAGATGTGCCACTATTGTCGTTCTTGAACGATATAAAATTTATATAACATCAAAACAGAAAACTAGACGAGCTTGACATCACATTACGTCAATTGGAATCAAAATCGCAATACATTGCAGAATCACGCGAATTTCGTAAGTATTTTTTATAGAAATTAAAAATATTTATTAATTTATTAAATTATTTGTTTTAGCGCCAGCAATTGTTTCTGTTGTCGATACGGATTATTCATCATATGGAGTTTGGTTCTTATGTAGAAATAATCATCCACAAGGAGGTTTGTATATTTTATGTCGGTTTTCCTAACATGTCAGTTTTTTTCGAGATTGTGATTATACATATATTCGTTGAAAGATCTAAAATTGGAGTATAGACAGTATAAAATTTGGACAGCAAAAAGATATTTATGTTTTATCTCAATACTCCTTATTTACTTCTTACTTTATTTTCTCATGAAGTGTTATTATAAAATATTTTTAGGGGTTTTATTCATTACAACAAGAACTCGCCAACCAGGTGCTGATGTGATAGAAAAAACACACAAATCTCTAATAAACGCTGGATTTAAATCCGATAAATTAAACTTGTTCACTGTTGATCAGTCTAATTGTTGAAATTTACAATAAAATTGTTGAATGTTGTAATAAAATTTTATCAACCCAAAGTTGTTTATTAATTTTGTTAAATTAATAAAACGTTAAATTAATTAACGAAGAAAGTACTACTTTAATGTTTTAATAATCCTCATACTACAACTAAATTAATATGAAATGACATATAGACAATAATTATCCCAAATCAACTTAACAGCTCACTGTCAGGTATTCTACCAACATTATTAACAGACTTACAAAAGAAAATATATTAATACCCCCAGGATCAGCTAAGTGGGGACGTAAATTAGTAACACATATATACATTATACTCGTATTATAGATTAAATTAAGCAACGACATGCTTTTTTTCAAGAAATACTTTCTGCACTCGGGGAACACCACACGTAACGAGGTTGCGAAGCTATCTATTAATAATCATTACCTTACGAAAATAATCTTAAAAATAGAACTGAACAATACAGAAAATAAATTCTGAAGAACCCTTATGAAATTAACATTGAAAGCACCAACAACAAGAATATTATGCTCCCTCCCAGAAAAGAAAAATGGTGAACAATAATTTTCACATAAAATCCAACCATATCAACCACAGATAATCAGCTAGCTCTAAAGGAATCACAAACATCAAGTCTCCGAGACACTAAACACATCACAATCCAAAAGCAATCATGCTAGTACGTCATCTCAACTAGAAGACGCTATCAACGTCCAATCCATGATTAACTATATCGACAGCTTTACAAGAACAATCATTTTCCGGTCATTCATCCGCTCCGTACTATATCCATGATCTGTACCAGAGCAGTAGGCGTATTATGAGGTTTACGAAAACCGGGATGATTAGAATCAAAATAAGTTTTTTCATGAGGTACATCTTATGGTGTATCTTATAGTTAAAGTTCCACAGTGCCTTCAAAGTAGTGGCAATATTGAAATTTATTAATCGTTTAAGAACTAAAAAGTAAGTCTTCTCTGACTGTTCAGAGAAGGTGGAAGTCCCAACTAAAAAATTAAGGATATGAGTCAACGGAGAAAGTTAGACATCAAGTAACGAAATAAACGACGCAATTGCCAAGTCATCGGATCCAACACGTACATATAGAACTCAGCAACCTTTTTCCTATCATCACTCTAAGAACACTTTTTGGTAAAGCTAGTAAGAATAAGTTGTGGGAGAGGAGAGGTACACAAACCTGTTCTAAAGGTTTCTCTCGAAGTACATTTTAAAGGTCGCTTCCTTATTGGTTAGTTGGAATATATAGCTAATTCATAGGCTGAGTGATATAAGAGTGATATATATTATATAAGACCTAAATTATGTATCATTGAACAGAATCCAGGTCTGTACTCGTTTTAGCGATAAAACAACAAACCGTTTAAGGCAAATGTTGGAATGGAAATATATTTAAAGATAATTATTGTATATCTGTTTCAATTGGAAACCATTTATCCCGTTTTATTCTTGTAAACTTTGCAACTATACTAACTATAAGATTAGAGTAACTGGAATAAATTAAAGGAATTTTTTTAATATTCAACGTACGTTTATTCATTTAGTTATGCAAAATAAAATTTAAAAAAACTATTCATTTTGAACTTATGTAAACGGTTCTTCATTCAGTTGTTAAGTTTGAAAAAAATATTTTTCTTTATCTATATCCAAGGTCATTTCTGTTGAACCTTGAAAAAATATTTATTTTAGTATAAAACTTTATTTTACTTAATAATTTCATTATTATTGTTAATTTAAGAAAACTCACCAATAAGAAGTTGGATGATTATATTGCGGATAATAACGGGGATCTTCAAAAACACTACCGTATCCATATGGCGATGGATATAATAATTTATCATCCCAAATATTTTGTGGTCGTCCCATTACGGATACACAAACAACTAACAGGACAAAGATATAGAAATATTTCATGGTTAAAACTTTCTGATGTGGAAGAGTCGCTGTTTCAAACTCTGCTACCAGAAAATTAGTTCAACTATATTATATAGCAAACGCAGGTATATTAATTATAATTTTAATATCTATACGTGAGGATATGAAACTTAAAAAAGGTTTATTACAAAGGTTATTACTAGTTAATAATAAATTAGCTTTATTTATTAATGTATTGGTTTTGTATGCACATGTTCTCGCATATTGTACAATTGTAATAAAATATGTATGTTTATTTAGGTATATTAAATGGAAATTTATTTTCATACTAATAATTTTAAAATTTATAAATTTTACATTCCTTTATTTTAATGTAGATATCGATTTATATTCCTATTCTATAAAAATCTCATTTTAATGTTAATATTTAATTAATTAAAACAATATTTAATAATAAATATGAATTAATAATAATAATAATATTTATTGATCACAATGTACTACACTTCAGAATAAACAACTAAAAATGGTTTCCAATAAACAACTGATCAATCTTATGGTGAGATTCAATATATATTGTTCTTCCACCTCACCATAAAGTATATAAAGAGAAAAAAAAACAGTATAGCGTGTTAAATATAAAAAAAAAGAATCGCGACAACGGTATAAAGCTATAAACAAAACAAGAGTTTTAACTACTAAGTTTTAACATATAATACTTAGGTGAATACTACCAAAGGCCACAACAAGTCGTTATCGATACCATGTCAGTACTCAAAAGGGTTCCCCAGAAATTAAGAACAAATTTAGGTAGAACAAAAAGATTACAAAAACATTCAAACGCAAAAGCAAGATCTGTGACTATTAAGAGATTTACAGGTATTGCGAACACTGCTGCCCAAACAGAAAATCAGCATAGCGCCTCCTGGCGGTGGCGGCAGACCCACACTCTGTCAATGCGCAACCAGAAGGGAGCTCATTAATTACTTTGCATATCTGGTATGAGAAGCATTTTTTAAAACTCATAGTGTGGAATATTGGTGGAGATAGCCTTCCCTTAAACCTCACATTAACCGAGTGCACGTCACCCCGAAAAGACAACTTTTTTACAAGATACGCTGGTTTATGTAGAGTGAGTAATTTATGGTAAAAACCTACAGCATGCAACATTCTTCTCCCCTGCATGTTCAACCACTTTAAAACCGGCAGCTTACAGCTGACGTGATCTCTGCGTTTCAACCCAAAAATTAGTCTGATACAGGTGTTTTGTACCTTTTGAATTTTCCTCTTCAATGCATAGGACAGAAAGGGTGCATACAATGCATCGCCATAATTAAACATTGATAGTACTAAACTTTCGCATAGGCGCACTTTTGCACTATGATTAACAAAGGCTCTGTTAGTATAAATAATTCTAAGGCTACTGTAAGCTCTTTGAACGCATTTATTGACGTGTTCATTAAAAGTAAGGCCCTCATCGATTAAAATGCCTAAGTTTTTTACTGTTTTTTGAATAGGTAGTATTCACATTTATAGAATTCATTACGTAACAACTTGTATTACCGTAAACTACGTTTTACAGTTATATTTTTAATTAGTGTACTTTGTTTTCTTTATAACAACTAAAATTGTTGACATAGTTATCGTAACAAAATATTTTTGTTGCCTTGTGTGTTGCAATTATTATAATTGGAATCGTTATTTAACTAAAGCCAAACCTGACTTTATACATTTACACATTCGTTTCTCTTACAATTAGCAGCGATTAATATTGAAATGAGTAAATATTTTCCATTATTTTTTCTAATGGTTGTCGCATATTCTTATGCGAATATACCTAAGTGTAATCGTCAAACATCATCTATACCAAATTTTGACCGATCTAAAGTTAGTATTTCCTTAAAAAGAATGATTTTGTTTTAAATAAAATAATATGTTTTCTAAGATTCTCGGAACATGGTATGTCATAGAAGCGGGAGAAGAATATAGAAAGAATAAAAAGAGATGCTTACAGGGTATTCTCAGCTTTGAAAATGTACTTGAGACTGGTTATATAAATGGGTAAGTACCAAAAAAGACTATTGTTGTCTATATGTATATTATTTATTTATTCGATGATTAAATCAAAATAGCAAACTGGACGAACTTGACATTAAAATACAACAACTGGAATCAAAATCGAAATACATTACAGAATCACGTGAATTTTGTATGTTTCAACATTGTTGAAATTAAAAAAGAAATACTTAATAATTTTTTAAATTATTTTTTAGCGCGAACCATTGTCTCCGTACTTGATACAGATTATACATCTTACGCAATTTGGTTCTTCTGCAGAAATAATCATCCACAAGGAGGTTCATATAACTTATTCAGAATGTTTCAACTAATCATTTAATATTATTTATTTTTTGAAATGAAATTTAGTGTTATAGTTAAATATTTTTAAATTTTTAGGGGTCTTCTTGATTACGTCAAGAACTCGTCAACCAGGTGCTGGTTTCATAGAAAAAGCGCACGAATCTTTAGCAAACGCTGGATTTAAAGTCGACAAGCTAAACTTATACTCTGTTGACCAATCTAATTGTTAAATTTAAAATCAAATTCAATGATTAATATTACAATGATTAAATCTTACATCTTAAAACTGTTTTTATTTTCCGATATAATAGAAATAACTGAGGAGAAACTACAAAGTAGTTCCAACATGCTTATAGATTTGTCAATTTTTACTTTATTTATATCACTTCTGCAATTATGTTCTGCACATTTTTGGTGAAATGGGAATTGCAATTCCTTTGGATTAAATTATTAAATACATGTATGAAATAACTACGAAAGTAAAATGTGAATTGTAACCATCAATATTTTCATTATTGTTAACAATTGTACTAACATTGTAAAATAGGTTTTGTTAAATCATAAGAAATTGAAATGAGAAATTAAATTATTACAGAATTATTTGAATGAATTTAAATATGGACTCACGTTCCTACACTTTAAAAGAAATCACATTATTTTTATAATGTTATAACCTTGACAGTGTACGATATGATATCATTTTATATAAATTATTTCGTAAAAATAACTTATTATCATATTAATTAAATAAGTCACTTATTTATCTATGGATATTGTAAGCAATCATAAATAGCAACAAATTTAGAATTAACTTTTAAACAATAAAATAACCAATTTTAGTTTTAATTTTGATAAAATAGGTATTATAATATTGGACGTAAACTATTTTTTCGCCATGTATTCATACCAGCTTGTTTCTTTAATTTAGTCATCTTTTTAAATTTCAAAATATATTTATCTTGTTTTGTTTAGGTTGTGTACCAATTTGGTATAATTAGAACAAGTATTTAAATAAAAATCTCAATCATAACATTGTTTAATTATTTTATTCGTCTTTGTAACGACTAATATTAAAATGATTAAATATTTTTTGGTATTATTGTTTACGATTGTTATATGTTCTTGTGCGGAAATACCAAAGTGTAATCGACAAATACCATCTATACTCAATTATGACAAATCTAAGGTAATAATAATCTAAGATTTGGATTTTTAGTTCATTATACATTGTTAATATATTTTAAGATACGAGGAGTATGGCATGCGATAGAAGTGGGAAATGCACCTAAAAGCAAAAAGAGATGTTTACATGTTACTGTTACCTCTGAAAATATGTTCGAAAGCGGCTTTGTAGATGGGTAAGTATCACAATTCACAACATATTGAAGTATCAATCGCAATAATTTCTATGGTAAATAGTGTTCTAGATGAAGTTCATATTCCATTATATCAACTAGATTCGAATTCGCATTACCTAACAGCATCACGTGAATTTCGTAAGAATACAAAACTTATTTAAAATTAAGCAAGAAAAACATTACATAATTAATAATCATCTTTTTAGCCCCAACCATTTTATCTGTGGTCGATACGGATTACATATCTTATGCAGTTTGGTTCTTATGTAAAAATGATCACCCACAAGGAGGTTTGAACAGTTGGTGTAAGTTATACAAAAACTTACACCAACTGTTCAAACTTTTAATTGGATTTTTATCTTGGTTATATCCCGATAACTAGTTTTACCAAGATAAGATTCCATATTAATCACCCAAAGTCAGTTCGAAAATGTTAATTTTTATTTTGATTATTGTCTTTAAAGGAATAATATTTTAACAACGTTATAAAATTTTTCGATTAAAAGACAGCATAACAGCATACATATTGTTAAAGTAATGTATTATTTTTTTAGGTGTATTGTTTATTACAACAAGAACTCGTCAACCAAGTGCCGATATAATAGAAAATGCTCACACATCCTTATTAAACACAGGATTCAAAGGTGACAATTTAAACATGTTCACTGTTGATCAATCTCATTGTTAAAGTTAAAATAAAATTGTTGAAACATGTTGCATGAAATGTTTGTACTTACACAATTAAACAGCGAAATTTACGAAGACACAGAACTATTTCATTTACGTGATAATTTGTAAGTAAAAAGTGTTGGAGTATGTGATGCAAATTACCAGTAAAATTTAAGATTTACCAGTAAAAAGTTAGTCATAATAAATACAAAAATAAAACGTGCGTTGTGTTATGGCGGCATATCTAGGAATTATTCTAAAATTTCACATCGATGTTTAGTGGTATTGTATTACACAGGCACATACTAACGTTCCATTAAATCAGTTATTTTTCCAATAAAATTAATAACGACAAGAATTCTTTCCTCAACGAAAACTAATTCAAATTATTATTTATAATATATTAAATCTTCCATTAACTGTACTTACTTTTCTACCAACATAAGAGAGAAGAATGGAGCACGGATGAGGATGATATAGAGAAACAAGGGTAAAAAAGAGAGTCGCAACAAATGTGCAAATATACGATAAGGGAGAATATACAAGGGAACTTCACAGAGAGGAAGGTTAGGGTCTTCTAACTGAAAGAGAAGAGGTAATAGAGAGATGGTAGCAACAGTTCGATGAATTACTCAACATCGTCCACCAAGAAGAAGAGGAAGCAAATGTAAATAGAGTGAGCACGATGAAAGTTATGATTAACAGTAGAAGAAGTGCAGCAACTTATAGCAAGGATGAAAAAGAAGATAACATCAGATAAGCTGAGCTCCTAGAAATTAGTAGAAAGGCAAAACAGAAACAAGACTTCATGAACTAATATCAACCTGCTGGGAGGAAGACAGGATTCCCGTGAAATAGAAGATGTAAATAATCACACTACTGCATAAGAAAAGGGACAATTCTGTATGTGATAATTACAGAGGCATAACCCACCTTAATGTAGGGTACAAAGTATTAACAAACATAATACACAAAAGAGTAAAAATGTACGCGAAGACAATACTAGGAGAATATCAGTGTGGCTTCAGAAACAATAGGTTATAATAGCCCAAATCTTCCTAGTTACGCAGACTTTAGAGAAATACTGTAAGCATAGAATAGATGTACACCTTCATTGATTTAAGAGGGCCTTTGACAGCATTGACAGGAATAAACTTGAGGGAAGGATGTAATTAATTGAAGGTATTCGAGAGAAAGTTGCTTCGCAACATATATGGAGTACTGTATGAAAACGGAATATAACGCAGCCGATGTAACTATGAATTGGATACCTTGATAGAAGGGGAATCAAAAAAGGATCTTTGGCGATGTGGTTGGAACAGCGAGAGCCAGAGGAAGATTTAGAAATCGCTGAAAAGATGATGTATGGCAGGACCTGAAGAGGATGTGAGGTGTGAGGTGGAGGGCAGAGGCAGATGGAAGAGGCTAACGTCAAAGCAACAAGGACAAGGGCAGTAACTAGTTTTCTGCTTTCGTTATTGCAAACAATATCTAGTCTTCCATTCGTAGTACTTACTCTTCTACCGGCAGTATCTAATTTTCTATAAGTAGTAACTAATCTTCTCAGTCCGCAAATTTTTGATTTGTGAAATAAATAAGGTTTCCGTTAATATATATTTTGATTACATGGAGAAGTTATCCTTAGGGCACATTTTATTACTACCTATTCTGGGTTTACACTTCTGGCTACTAACTTCGTTTGTAAATTTCATCAAATAGTTTTTCCTGCAACTTTTCATCGACAACATCGACTGCCAGACTAAAATCATACATTTTATCTGTCAGCTTTTGCCGATTCTAGTAGATTCAGTAATATAGTTTACTACTTATTGAAGTTATCCAATTTATATTCCAGGAAAATACGCAGTATTGATAAAAAATAAGCACCATGACAAATTTGAAACCAAACTCGTAAGAACAGAAGAAATCAAAGATAAGTTTGTCATCTTTGATTTAACTTCGTCGATAGGAAATTGCCAGAAGAGGATAAAATCATGTGAAACAAGTCAAAAAAAAAAAACAGCAGCCAGGAAAAGGTCTACTTTGTTAAAATTTTATCAATTCGAGGTTAACATTTAATACTTGACAAACTCTTTATTCCTTGTTCGAGTATCTGATATATGCAGCCACTTACTGGTGTGCGAAATTAATCTCAATCTACTAAATAACATCACTCGATGACCTGTAAACGAAGGCCTGATCATCAAACACCAGTTGATGACCTAAGTATTAAATATTCATGAAGCACAGCTTCCCTCCTAATCGATATAAAGCTCTAATATTAATCTTAAACGACTCTGAAGAAACAATTGTTTAGCAATTTACTAACAAATGATTTAAAATCTTTATTAATTAATCTACTACGACTTATGAAGATAGAAAACTCAAACTCTGTATCTTTCGATTTAAAAGAAGTTGTAATAGATGTCTTTGAATTTTCTAGCTGTATCTGAATTTTAATTTTTTTTTAAATGTCCTTCGAAATATTTTATGATATTATATAAATCCGTATCAGCACCAAGCACTGTATAGTATGTACAAGAAAATTGTTTACATTTACAGCTTCGTTTTCTGTTACCTTAATATTCGTAGAATAATACTGTTTCTTTGCTTCGGCAATAACATAGATTGATGGATAAATATCAGCCCTCTTTATCTATCCTCTTTTGTCACTTTCCAATCTATATCCAATCTAATAAGTTATATTTCCAATCTAATAAGACCAAAAGATTTTGCTGGGCTGTATGGTCTTACATTAGTAGACGCTGATGTATTATGCACAATCAAGCATAATTTTTCTGAACTGTGTGCTTTAACAAGTCAGCACTGATATTGCCTCGCATCATTTCCGCCAAAAAGCTGTGATGGATGCAGTATATTCGAAAGTTTCAAGTCTTATGGTTCATGGCTGACTGGATCATAGAGAATATTATCAATGCATTTGTGATTTGTTTAAAGACACATCTTGTAGCAATTTTTATCTTCGCATTTTAGTTATTTGGCGTTATGTGCATCATCGGTGACAAAAGCTGTTTTACACTCAATGAACGCATTAATTCTTTACGCGTTCTTTTCATTCCTCCTTCATTCGGAATTTGTCGTCAATATTATGTCATTATGAACAGGATTAATCTCGTCTATTGACTCACCCTAGGGTAATAACTGGTTAACAAATAAATTAATTTTGTTTATTAAAGTGTATACTTTACATGTTCGTGTAAAATGAATAAATGTAATACAATATGTAGTGTTATTTTGTATCAACCGGAAATAACATAATTTTCCGTATTTACTAAGCGATCTATTACAAATTGGAAATACATTCGAGTACACTTGAAAGGAATTACTATGCATGTAATGTGATAATCTAGATAGTGTGCAATACGATATCATTCTGTGAAGGTTTAAATCGTATATTTCAAAATAAATAATACCTGATCTCGTGGAAATTTAAAATAAACGAGAGATACAAAATTTTTGTTATACTTTATTTAACGCTACAATTAATGTTTATCTATTTAATAACCATTATTCTTCTTATTGTTAGTTAATTTATGACTGCCAATAAAATTATTGAAACATGACATTCAAGTTATTTTTAAAAGTATTATTTTATCGTTTGAACTTCAGAGTAAAGATGAAGCTTACCAACGGACCGGAAGCTTTCTATCTGGTCGTAAATGAAATTTCCAGTCACGTTAGTGTCGCCTGGGGGACGGAACGGCGCAAAAATATAGATTAATTCAATTTGAATTGCCTCGTGCCGCAGCCGTCGACTACGACGACGATGCCGACGACCAAGAGTTAGAAGAAGCCCTGCAAAGTTTTAATTCGGAAGTTTTTAATGTAACGGCCGAAAGTTTCTTTTCAAACTTTTTCCCTTGCCGCTCTGAATTCATTCGCCACAATGATAACGTTCTCGTTGCTCCCCTAGACTTTTTTGAGGAAGAAAGCCTAGACAAGCTTAGAATTGAAATTAGCTGTACTTAAATATATTTTAAATACAAAAGGTTTCACCAAATACGATTTATTATTAATTAATTTGTTTTATCTACGACTGCTTGGATAAGTCATCATTACCACACTTATTTGAGGTGATTTGAGTTACGTAATAAAGTTCATTACCGCACTGGTTTCATTACGTAACGCATTTTTAGCCCAATCAGAATAGACTTAATTTATTGAAACGAGCAACAATATAAAAGAAAAAGTGCTACCTATTTAAAGAAAAACAATACTATTTATTATAAACATTAATTGTTATGTTTTTACATTTGGAAACACTTATTCCAGATGAGTAAACATGTTATTGAAACTGACATTAATTCAAAATTGTTAACAATCATTTCAAAATATTTGTATAAATGTCAAAATAACTCTTTTTAAAGAAATTGATTTTTAAGTCATTTTTAGAAGTCATAGATAAAATGTTGTTATCACACGTAGGCTAAAGCATAATTACAGTACTCGTGTGATTCTCCACACTCAGTACCCAGTAATTATGTTTCTAGCCCACTTGTAATATAAATAACTATTATTGTAATTGTTTTCGTTATAATCGTCATAATTAAAATTTTTACTATTTATTTAATTCAAGTACATTAGTTTACTTTTACCGGTACAGGTGTGAGTAGGTCTTTTTCCGGTCGTTTTACCAGTAGACAGTCAGTTAACGAGTTTATAACTTTGTAATTAACCAGACTGCATTGTCGCAGAGGTTGGTCGGTGTTGTTGGGGTTTTGTGAGCCCGTGGGTGCGATTAGGCAATGTTGCAGCCGCCAATGCACACACATTAGCGGTATTTTGCTTCTGCATCAAGGTATTTTGTTTAGCTAGGAGAGAGTGAGAGAGAACGGGGGACAAACGGACGATATGATAAACGCGACCGCAAGAGGAATTCCAGTGGAAATTATACGGCGGAAGGCGCCCGAGCTCGCACCCGTCCATTACCGGGAACAGGCCGTAATTATTTTACTATTTATCACCCGAATGTCCGGTCGCCCTGCGAGCCGATTAAATTCAAAAGTTGCCCGACACTTTTCTCTTTCTCGCCGTAAATAATGCATCGGTTATGGTGAGACATTAATGGCTTTGATGGCGAAATAATAAAGGAGAAAAAACTGTTTTACGGACGTTGAACGATAATAATTTTTGTTTCTAAGAATTTAAAAATAAAATTCGATGAAAAATAGTTTTGATGGAAGATTTACAAGAAAAGATATAAATAAATCTTCACTTTTTATTACAGTGGTGGCACATCTGCTATTTAAATTATTGTTTTCTTTTTTTCTACGAGATTATCACCATATTTCTTTCTATTATTATTTATTTACATTTGTTACATTTATTTGAAGAATCACAAAAAAAATTCATTGACGCGTGCACTCTAAATGATTAATGATTAAATATAAGTATTGCAACTGAAATCAAATCTTTTAATTTTAAAAGATTTAGAAATGATAAATTATATCTTTAATTATAAAGAAGAGTGATTGTTTTTACTTTTTTAATATTTTATACTCATAAGAAACAATCAGATATAATTTTTTTTATCAAATTGCGTTATCGTGCTACTAAACTGTTAATGATCAGAGTGTCACTTGTGTTGATTCTCCAAATTTATCTCCATCATTTTAGCTTTAAGGCGATTTTTTAAATTTCACTTTTTCTAGCAGAACTTAATTTAACAGATTATCTTGTTAATTTTTTTTGTGATGTGATATTATGTAATATATCAGAACATAAAATATAGGATGAGCTATGCTAACGAGATAATAAAGTGACATGAGTTGTAAAATTGTTGTTATGCCTAAATGTCCAAATGCTTATAATAACATTGATATAGACAATGATATGGGTTGTGATCTAAGCAATAGTTAATATCAATGCACTAAGGCAATACAGTGTGATATGATTGGATATAATGTAAAAACGACAACTCTAAATGGTTATTAAGCCTAATATGAGATATAATAGGAACTATATTAATGAGATAATGAAGTTTGTCTTGAGTGATAATAAGATATGATGCCATTTATAGTACGATATGTAGCAGTGTAAAGAAATATAAAGGATCATATAGTATGTAATGTGAGATAATTAGATTTATTATGGAAATAGAAATAAAAACACGATACATATCTGGACAACAAGGTTGCTTAAAGACGAATAGCATCATAATTGTCCATTAGGGTTGGACTCTTAAGGTGTTAGAAGTCGATTTTTCCGCAGAGGGCTACAGGTTTTACAATTACCCAACAGCAGCAAATTTTAGGGGATAGATATTATAAAAACTACTACCGACAAAAACTTTATCTGCACTTGCTTAAATTCTTTGACTATGAACTGAATGACTTTTAGTATTTACATTGGACATTACAGTATTGGACAGAAATTATGTAAGCTCTCGTTTAGTCAACCACAATACATTCTCCATCAGTTCTGGGCTGATGGCTGCATGTCGACCGACGGAAGCACCACCACTAAGTTAAAACTGACTTAAAAAAATTTAAAGTTAGCCAAGTTAAAAAGTTCTGGCAGCAAGGAAGATCTATAGACAACTAAGCTACAGATCCAAGCTTTTACCAGAAAAATCAAATCATACGTTTCTTTGCCTAGGGCTCTATATGTGGTGTCGAAGTTGGAAATGAACGTTCGAATTCTGATGCGTACTATATCTGTGTTCTCCCACAATTCTGGCGAATTTCCCATTTACATAACCAGATCCTTGCCCACTTCATAAATGGTCGTTCAAATCACTCTCTCGATATACAAATTCAATGAAAGCATATCTGGTGTTGCATCAGTTATCGTGTATCTTATTGCACCCAAATTTTACAAGTATTGGTTTGTGTTTATACCTATGACCACATACAACTGTACTCGAAATTAATTCAAGGGTCAGCTTGTAAATCTATTACGACAACTTTGCTTTTGTAGCAAAGATTTTGCATTTTGATATTCTATGAGAGGATTTCTTTGCAGTGAAAGACACAAAGATCGTCTTCTCTATATTTCTATCGAGAATAGCTATTGTAAGATAGCAATATTGTGTTATTAAACACCTTCTATACGTAGAAAACCAAAGTTTCATTTTCCTGGATACTGAAGATATATAGAGGTAGCTTTTCCCGTTTGATAGGCATACTGGTAGGGCTTTAGTGAACCAAATACTCAGCCTATTGGTATACCTTTCTCAAATTTTTTGAAAAGCTTTCAACTTGTGCTGATCGATCGAAAAACATTCAGAATAGATAATTTAAATATATCCGCAAAGATGTCGCTTTCTTCGTGTGATTTGAATGATTTCAATGATGCAATCGACAATTTATTGTACAGTTGACATACCCATTTATACACCAATCATTTCGCGACGAATTATTACAGCTTATTTCTCATTCTTAAGTTATTTGAAAAATAAGTCTTCACTTTAAGCTCGAAGCGCACTTAAATAAGCATTTCTGAAAGTCTAAGATATGGAGTCTGGACTGCCTACAATCATTAACAACATCAATTAGATAAGCAACTTCGACATAAATACAAGTTCAATTTTAAATCGAATTTGTCTATCATTTGAACAGGACGAACCCTTCATTTGGATAAGACATATAAAATTGAACAGTGAACACAACTTATCCTGCACAAAGACGTCATAGAGTTTATAAGCAAATTTGGGATATGTACATTAACATTCGATCTGCTTAGTACAAAGTATAGAAAGCATTTTTAAAACTAACACTAAACCTATATTTTATTAAAAATTTGTCTAGTAACATTATAATTAACATCATCAAATATTTCAAATACTTTCACTTTATTTCCTAAAATATTTATTTTTACTCTCTTTGTAAAGTTTAGTCCTAGTAATCCTTGAAAGAAAACATAATAATTTCTTGGTATCCACGACATTAAATTTATTTACATCTCCACAACCAACATACGTAATCACGTCAATTTGTTTCAAGATTTAACTTATTTTTCGCAATGTGGAAACATTTCTCATTTATAATCGCCACCTTACTAATTCAAACTGGAATCGGGACATTTACTGCTGAACAAAATGTTGTTGATTTAAAAGAACAAGATTTCGATTTTGCTGTGGGACGAGGTCATGAAGTTTGGGCATTATTCTTTTATATACCTTATAATACGCACTCAGAAAATGCGATACCAGCTTTTAAACAAGCTGCAAAACGAATGTTGGGTCTTGCCAAATTTGGGTCTGTTAATGTAGATAGATACCCCATTCTAGCTCATAGATTTGATATAAGGAAAATACCCACCATGGTGGTTATCGATAAAGATTCTGAAGAAATTAAATACACAGGAAAAATGAATGCTACAGCAATAATTGATTTTATCGGAGCTTTTTTGATGCGGAAAGTTCAGTATGGTAAACAAAAAAGATTGAGCGATCATAAATTGGTGAAGGAGCTTACGGATGACGAGATGATTAAAAATGGCAAAAATGGATCCACGTTTTGGTTGATAGCGTTTTATGATTCAAAAGATAACGTTACGCTTGTTGATTACATTAAAATGATTGAGTATGCTGCTGAGAGTTTGGATGATTTAGTTAGTGTTGGAGCGTTTGATATCACGAAACGTAGCACACCGTATAATTATGATGGAATCCCTACTGTTGTTTTATTTTATGGAAAAAGATATGATAGGTTAGTATTATGCATTATTATTAAATTAATGAAGCAATTTAATTTGTTTTCTTCTATAGATATGAAGTTGAGTACAACGGTACCACCTACGGTAACAAATTGGTGGATTTCGTTCTTTCAAAAGTAAAAAAGCCGCGAATAAAAGAATTATGGACTGAAACTCTTCTTACAGAAGTGTGTCAATTCAAAAAATATTGCCTGATAACTTTTATTCCCGTCTATGAAAAGTGTAATAGAGAATGCAAAGAAAAAACTAAAAGTTTAATACAAGACGTTGCGAATAACTTCAAAACAATTTCCGCGGGATGGGTTTTAATTAGGCAGGGTGTGATGAAGATGGCAGAAAAATTATTGGATATCTCACCCACTAATTACCCAATATTTGTTGCCGTAGAAGTAAAAACATTAAAAACAGCACATTTAACTGAAAAATATAATCCAGATAACATTAATAAAATGATTTTGGATATTCTTAGTGACGGTTTTACAGGGAGACCTATCCCATTATTCGATCATTTACCTGATTATAGACCATGGAAAAGAGATGAATTATAATTTTAGATTTTACAACAATTTTTATATTTGATATTTTTGATATGTTCCAATGTTGTTACAATAAAGCGTAATTTAAATATTAAACTTTGTGTGATAATAATCTGAATTAAATATGATTCAAAAATTGTTACAGCTAATTAATAATTGTGTGTAATTAGAGAATTGGTCAATTATGGGCCGATCTGAAAATTATTCATGGGCGACCACGACATCTAGAATCACAGGGCAGTATAGGATAGTACTGGATGCTTCATTATAATTCCACCAGTAGGTCAATTGGCTGCTACTTCGTTCAGTTTCAAAAAAACTGCTCCCATCATAGAATTATTGGTCGTAGTCCATTCAGGGCATTATTTGGAACAAACCCAAAGATTGGTTTATCCTTAACAACTTCTTAAGCGACATAATTAAAAAATTACAAACAGAAGAGCATCTTAACGAAATACTGTCAAGAGCGGAGGAAAGGAAACTTGAAGATACAAGTGATTTACGTGTTAACTGAACAACAGCAGGAAATACCAGTTGTTATGGAGATACCAGTCAATACTGAAAATACTACAATAGAAGTAATTGAAACAACAAACTTTGAAGTAATGCCTATTTTATCCGAAGTCCGTTCTAACGAGTATCGTTATATCAAGGTTTTACTATTTACCTACTACCTTTGTACATCACATTTTGCGTTAATTTTCTAAACTTTCTTTTCCTTTACTAGAACGATTAGAAGAGACAAACAACTTTTTCGTTTTCAACGTTACTGTTAATCTCACATTTATCCACCCTAATCCCAGTAACGGGATACGACATCACCCTAATTCACCTCTAAGCGAATGACTCACTAGTATCGGCTCTGTGAGCTTTAGGTATCGCCTCACGTACTCTGAATTAATTAAATGACAACGTAGAAAAAGTTTTGAGACCGCAAACACGGCCGTAGTGGTTCAGCGCATTAGGGGGTTGCTTTAAGCGAAAAAGTTGAGCTCATCTGATGGCAGGGCGTTAAAGGGGATGGGGTGGATAATTGAAATGTGAAGAGGACCTCGATGCGCCACCTCACTCCGTGACGTGTATCTCGAATGGCTTTTTACATGGAAGCACTTTGCTCCAGTAGACGACGACGTCGACGACGGCCGCCAGTCCCTCGTTGAGGGTGATTCCCCGGCTGGCTTTTTATCGAATGTAATGATTGTGCGAAGTCTTTAATGAAGTGGGTTGTTCTGCCGTCGGTTTTTGTTTCTACTGAAATAGTCATCAAGCGGATCATCCCACAAAAAATGCTTTTTATGTTGATGTTAAATAACTGAAGCGTAAAGAGTGTAATTAAAATAATGGTCGTATTTGAATAGCTGTATTTATAAAATATGATGATAAGAAATGTTGAGTAAGATTAAATACATAAATAGAAACCTTTTTACATAGACAACCTTCATTAAAAACACTGTTGGTATAAAAAGAGCTTTGACGCATGAATATATAGAGTGTATACATTTAAGTTGTAAAATATGTTAAATTGTTATTATAACATATAGCACCAGCGAACCGAGACTTAATAAATCCGATAACGTATCGTAAACAAACGTAGTAGTTAAAAATAATTACTCCATGTAGCATATTAGTTAATAAAGCTTTCATCAAGCCGGTGAGGGCAGTAAATATCGTAGGCTAACGGTTGAAAAGGCCGCGATTTACAACGGTATTAGGCGCTGGTCTCGTGCGCCGCTCGACAGGTAATAATAGAAAAGTCTCTTTCGAACAAATTATCGTCAATAAGCTTTGCGTCTTCTGATCGAGTGCGGGCGGAGTTATTGGATTCCGTGCGAGTTGGGCGCCTTAATAACCGGCCTTGATTTATCGCCAACGGTGAGACCGTTCCGTGTGGCTCGGCGGTGTAAGGGACGATAAAACTCCAAGATAGTCGGGAGCACAATTTATCCGAGACATCAGAAAACGGGCCCCGGCCACCGAACGAGTGCATCTGCAACGCAAAGAAACCGGGTCCGGCAGTAAATCACAAGCCCTATCTCCGGATACGCATCGCATTGTGCCGTATGAACACGCATTTGTTACGAAACCGGAGTACGGGTGCAATGGGGCCACGGGGTGATCGCACTTCTCACAAAACCCGTCATCAGATGTTATACCTTGATTGCACCCTAATGATGATTATTATGTATGCCTATTGTTGGTCGGTTTTTTTTATATCCCGTGACAAGATGATGCATACCAAGTTCTTAAAAACTATTGAATAACTAATAAAACCATCAAAAAGGTACGTTTGTAGAGAGGGTTGCGTGTACTATCGAACATGAAGTTGTAAATAAATTTAAGGAAATGTCTGGAATTAGAAATCCCTTGTGCTTTCATCGTGCAATTATGGTAATGTTAGAATCGTTCCAGTAACGAACGAGAAATTGAAATATTCGGACTGGAAGGCGATAACTTTCCGGACGAGGGGGTCGTTTAGCTTTCAGATCGCGCGAATTGAGCCGTTCGTTTTTCACGTCACACAGGAACGGCATAATCCAGAATTCGGGACGAAACCGATCGGTATGCGTGGCACGGATCTTGATCCGCGCTATCGGTAAACATCGCCAATACGCAGAACAAAAGCAAAGGGGAGAATCCGACAGCGATGGAGCTGAATTATTCATAAGTGGCGCCGGTGCCGAAGTCGAAACCGGTGCCGGAGTCGGGTGCGTTGAATCGTCGTTGTCGTCAAAGCGTGTCGCCCACCTCGCCAACGCCGAGTGCCAATTTTCCACATTGCGACGCTTTTGCTTTTCATAAGCCGATAAATTTCGCTCAAACTTGCAAACGTTTCAAGAGACTATTCCCGGATGGGAATTTCACTCCCGGTTGATATTTTCAAACTCTATTACCTACCTCTTTCACACATTACACATTATATAACTTACCATGTCATCGAATAATTTAACAATAATAAAAAAATACAAATACCTTGAGCCTTTTTATATTCAACAAGTGCATAAATCTGCAGTTTTTAAAATACCCAACATTTTTTCATATATGGCATATGAGACCATGCAATGAATTAATCGTTCACAATTTCACTGCGTTTATGCAATTTTATTCCTGTAGTTAGTTCTAAAAAAAGTTTTATTTTAATAACACGTATAGCTTTTTATAATACAACTGTGGGGTTCAGCAGTCCTTAAAGATGCTTTAGTGTAAGTACTCTTTTGAACAGAACTTACAACCTTGTACCTGTGTTTGACAACAAAGGTGACGTTGTTGTATAAAACATGCTTTCTACCACATATGTCTCTCGCTCCAAAAAACATTCTACTAAACTGACGGATCGTACCAGTTATCTAAAATAATTGACAAAACGTACCAGTTCCTCAGCCAATTGATTTTGCCTTAGGTACACTATAGCTTTTCTTAATGTACTCATGCTGTATTTGGAATTTGGCCAATTTTATAGGTATCCTTTCCAAATCATACAGTATAAGGTCACTAAGGCTGTGAAGTTGTCCCAAACGAGCATTTTTTGTTTATATACATTGACAAACATGATGTTGTCCTTTATAAAGCAGGAGGTATTTATCAATAGTCGATGGTTCATCAATGTGCCTCATACAGTTTTCTCTCATAAATGTAAAAAAAACTTGTAAACCTCAAAAACTTTATTATTTAGAGATATCTATATTGACTCATAATTTTAAAAAATTGAATTTCACCAAACCGAAAAAGTTTGAGCAATTAACTTTTACTTCAGGGTATTTGATAATTCCTATGATCACAGAGAGAGTGAGAGCTATAAGAACATAACATTTATCTGGGGACTGTTTCTTCTATTTTATGCCATGCACTTTTAATGATGTGTAATGTGTAATGTTTAATCATACAAAGCACAGCCTCGCTAATTTTATTTCTTTAATATCGATTTCCGGGTGTATGTCATAAAACATTGGTTGAGTGCCAAGCACAAAAATTCCTGTATGTATGAACTTTATCCCAATAACCTTATCATAGTTGTATGAACTTTGTCATTACCTTTGTCAACATTGGTCCGGACCGAATTCTTTTGCTTGTGACATTAGCAACATCAGCCCCATAGGGTAAACGTCGCCGTTCCACACGAATTTTTTATGGAGTTCTTCAATCATAGGTATAAACTATCAAAATATTTATTTTTCCATTGGTCTCATCTTGGTGTCATCACCACTTCCATAAACATCATCTTGGTTATAAATCACTTACTTTTACATATTCTACCAGGTTCAGGTTCACCCAAATTAATATTGTATGATTTTCAAGGTTGTGGGGAATCCTGGTAGTTCAAATTTGGAATCATTTTTTATTTAGTAAGATCAAAATGAGATTTATATACATTTATATAGCACTCGATAAACTTTTTATGAAAAATCTTTTTTTCACGAATAGATTTGGTATACTAAAACATATGATATTGTTCGATGATAAGCATAAAATTTCTTTGATTCAGCTACTATAGCACCATGCTGCAGCTAATTCTATTTACAACACTGCAGCAAAAATTGAAGAACACTATAAAACGTACTCTTAAACATATTAACCTATTGTACTCCCATTACATTAATTTTTTCAACTATTTGTTAATTTTCAACTGGAGTTCTTTCAAAAGCAATTTTGAAGATTTTTTTACATCACCCTAATCTTTTTAGATAAGCGCAATTAATGAAATTTTTTGATTGGTTTAAAACTAGTTGATTTATCACATATGCCACCCACTTAAAATTTGAAACCAACATGGGACTATGGGAGTATTTTTCAACGAAACGGTACGCATCAATTGAATATGTTTACAGTAACAAGTTCTGTTTCAAGGTTCAAGGATGTTATCACTGAAATGGTACTACATCATTTTTAATTTTCTATTGTTGCAGACTAAATATGACTACCCAAATTACTTTGAAACAGAATCCAATATGCGTAATTTGCACCAAGTTAAAGCCAGGATGATGTTGAAGACTGTAAGATCTTATGTCAGCTAAGGACGATGCTGAACAAATTCTGAACCTGGATTTTATACTAGACTTCAATACCACTTTCACAAAATTGGGATTTTGAGGTATCTCAAA